CTAGTTGTGGAGGACATTGCTTCACTGGCCCATATTGGTATTATCATTGCGCTCTTCCCGGATGAGGCAGATCGGTCGCTGGCCTCTGGACGGCCACTCACGGGGCAGCTCTTGGCAGCTCATGCCGACTGCCGGCTGCTCACGCTGGTTGCCAGCCACTCACGGTAGCCCATGGCAATCCACTGCAGCAGGGGCTACAGCCTACGCTGTCGCCGGCGACTCACAGCAGCCCAGCTCCAGGTCGAGCTGATGTTCACCATCCTAGCTGTAGAGGGCAGTGTCACTGACCCTCATATGTGGGATCTGAACCGGGGCCCTGCTGCTCAGAGCTGGCGTCCCAAGCCAGCTCCCAACCAATGCGCCACTTGGCCGCCCCTCTCAATCATTGTTTTTAAGGACATTCACACACACACAATTTATGTAGCTATAATCATACATAGTATTGTAACCTGGTTTTTTACTTTTTATTATGTCCTTTAAAATATTTTTGAAAAGATGCTTGTCAATGGTCTTGTACCATTTCATGACATGGACGGGCCCTAATTTATTATTGGACATTTAGACTCTGACATTTTTTGCTATTATAAATAATGTTGTCATGAACATCTTTCTATATAAACCTTTGTAAGCATGGCTTTCAATGCACCATCTGTCCCTTGGAGCCCCTTGACTGGTGACACACACCTCTACTAACTGACATTTGACACAAGGAACTGAAGTTGTGTAGTTAGAACTTGTCAAAATGACAAATAGGGTAGCAGTGGCCTGTCTCACTCTCATAAAATAAAATGGATACAACCATAATTTTGTAGGCCATTTGTTTGGTTAGAAGCTTGATGCCTCATTGATTCCACACAATGTATTCCAAAAGAATGAAGGTGACCTTAGAGAGAGCCAGCCATTTAGAGTCCAATAAATCGAGCTTTGGGTGGTAATGGTGGTGGTGGGGAGGGTTGTTGCCCAACACAACCAGAGACATCATGATCTGTCAGTCTCATTACTCAGAACTGGAATTTAGGAAGGGATGTGGATTAGGTTTAGCTTGTGGGTGCTCTTCTGAAAACAACAGAAAAGTTCAATCTTTAAAACTAAGGAATGTTGGTGGTGTGAGTTGCAGGCTTCTGTAGGAAAAAAAACCAAAACAGTAAAATATTCTAAAATTTACTGAAGGCTGCCAAAAAGAGGAACTCATCAGTGGAGCTTGAACGTCACCTATTATAATAGTCTTAGAATTCTGCTTCCAGGATGTCATTTATTTTGTCAGTATCTTGCAGAATCAACAAAATTTAAAATCCATATTTAAAAAAGTACCTGAATCTGTTTCCTGTTACTTAAGCTACAAACATGAATGCTTAGTATTCATCTCTAATAGCCTAAGAGAATAAAGCTTTTACTTTTGATCTAGAATTTATTTAATCTAGGACAGTGGTAGAGATTCTAGGTCCAAATTCCAGGTTATAGTATTCTTCAGTTTTGCTCTCTACTTCATGATGATAATTTTCCACTAGCTCTTAACACTTATTGTACTAAATTGCTATATTAATATTAATATCAGAGTGTGAAAAATTCAACTGGTAAGTGGTATGCAAATTAACCTAATGCAAACTTTAATGTATTAGTGCACTCAAAAAAATCTTTTGCTACTAAGGTAACTGAAGTGGTAAAAAGACCAACTAATCACTATTAAAAGGAAAGATTGCTACAAGTAAAAGTATAACATATTTTAAATCAATGTGACTGATTTAAGTCAAACAATATGGACATAATAGCTAGTGTAAGTCTTTGATTATATTATAGCTGTAAACAGAAAACTTTTTTTTAAAATCAGTGCTATGGATTGAATTATGTCTGCAAAAAGGATGTGTTGAAGTGTAAACCCCTGGTACCTATGAATGTGAGCCTATTTAGAAATAGGATCTTTGCAGATATAGTCTAATTAAGATGAGGTCATTAGAGTGGGCCTAATCCAACAAGACTGCTGTTCTCATAAGACAATGCAAATTTGGGCAGACAGACAAGCACAGGAGGAAGATGATGAAGGCAGTCATGTGATGACAGAGGCAGAGACTAGTTCTGCTTCTATAAGCCAAAGAATGCCAAGGATTTCTGACAAACACCAAAGGCCAGGAAAAGCAAGGAAGAATTCTATCCTACAAGTGTCAAAGGAACATGGTCCACTGACACATTGATTTCAGATTTCTAGCCTCCAGCACGGTGAGACAATAAATTTCCATTGTTTTAAGCCACCTGGATTGTGGTGCTTTGTTATGGCAGCCCCAGGAAAATAATACTCATGGCTTTCACTGTGTTCTGCCCAATTCCATTTTGTTCTTGCTCATATAAGTCTGCGGTAGATTATATAGATTTCTGGTCAGTTTCTGTTTATAACATTGTCCAGTTTAAGTCATCACTCTCATATCTAATTTGCATTTTATCTCCTTCCTCGCCTCCAGTGTCAGCCAGGCTTTGGGTAGAGAATGGACATGGGTTGCTCTTGTGTTTCAAGACCTCCAGCATCATGAAAGTGATGAGGAGGGGCATGTCTCATTGTAGGACACTTCTCTCCCCTCTTTTGGTTCTGGTTCTCTGGTGTCATAAGCAAGGAAGTGGACTAGGAGAGATGGCAGGAGTCGTTTGATGTAACAGTCAGTGATAGGGTGTCACTTCTGAATTTGTTCTTATTAAATCTGGTTCTATGTTATTGATATCCTTGTGTTTTCTTGGGTTGGTGTTCTGCTTTACTCCTAATTGCTCTGTCCTCCAGAACTTCCTGTGACAGAGGCAGTTCTGCCTCCTTTTAGTGTTTTCTATGAATTTGTGTCTAAGGTTCAGGCTGGCCTCCGAGCGCCTGCCTTTCCTCTTCCCTGTGCTCCTTCTTGCAGAGCCAGGGGGACCACCAAAGCTCTCCATTCCTTCCCTATAGCTTGAGACTCAGATGGAGAAAGGACTGCACCTCTCTTATTCCTAGTCCTGTCATCCCACTCTCTTCTCACTATGAAAATGGTGCTGACCACTCCTGAAAGCATCCTGCCCTCAGCACTCTAAGCAAGAAGAGACCTCATGCTTATGCAGGGAGAACTCCCCAGTATGGGGAGTTCCATGCCTCCCAAGCCCTCCTCCAGACCCCTGCTCACCATCGGCAGCTCTAAGATTCCACAGCATCCAGCCAGGGAGAGCGGCACTGTATATCTTTGCTGTAGATGTCCCTGCACCCTACGAACAATTCTCTCAAGGCTTTAAGCATTTTCTTCCTCCTCACCAAGGGGACTAAAAGGACTTAGAGGAGGACTAGGACTCTCACTATGAGCACTGCCTTCATGTGGCTGCAGATTCTCGTGGCTGTCCCCTCCCTGAAGCCTGCCGTACAACCTGGAAAGTGTGGCGCTGGTGTGAGGGTTGCGTAGAGGTGAGCTAATTCAGTCCTGAGGAAAGTTTCTTGGCTCAATAGTTAGTGGCTCTCCTTAGAATATGGGAGGATTTAATGTCTCTTTGCTCTCAGTTTGGGGTCTTGGAAGCACTGAAGGTGTGATGCTTACAAGGGTGGTCTGCACCACCCCTGTAGTAAGAAGGGAGTAGGAGTGGCCTGACTGCGAAAAAGATGGTTACTGACTCCTGGGAAAAGAAAAACTCCCACTCAGTTGCTGTTGCACCAGGAAAATATGCTTTCTGTTTCAAGGGTTTTTTTTCCTTTCTCATTCTCTTTTGACATTGCAAGATGTTTTAGATTTTGTCAGCATCCTATGATTAATGAGATGGAGGAGCTGCATTTAATACATAAGGTCTAGTGAGGGTGCTGCCAGGTGGCTGTGCTCATAGCCCCAAGGCGAGGATCCCAGTGAGTTTTAGAGGTAAAGAGTCTGCTTCCACTGGCTTGCTTGCAGGCTGGCTTGCTAAGGATTTCAGATCAAAGGCTAAATCAGGATTAGCTATTTGATGACTCCATGTCTAAACCAATAAATGTTCTCAAAATGTGATCCCATGATGATCAGCAGCAGTATGACCTGGAAAGTTGTTAGAAATACACGTTCTCAGGCCACACCCCAGACTATAGAACTAGAAACTGGGGGTGGGTCCCAGGCATCTGTATTAACAAGCACTCCAGGTGAGGCTGATGTACACTGATATTTGCAAACCACTGTTCCAAAAAATCTTCTCTTCCCCAATTCAAAGTGACCCTTGAGCCCCTCTAAGAAATGGGTGTCTAGTTGGTATGGCCTAATACAAAAGATATGATTTATTTTAAAAATTCTCTGACGATTTTCCATCTATCACATAAGCTTAAAAACTTTGTAATGTGCTTTAGCGGAGGCAAAGAGAACCCCCTTTCTCTTTCCCAAGAGACTGGAATTTCAGAAGTTTATTAACTACTTTAAACAGGCAATTTACATTTGAGTCTGATCATCCTTACTGGGATGCTTATTACTCTGGAATATTTCCTTGTATCAGATGAGGCTTAAGTGTGGGGCTCACCTTCCCTGCATTGTTCTCTCCATAGTAATTGACACCATCAAACATACTATATATGTTATGTGCTTCTTTTTCTTTCTTTTTTATGTATGTCTTCCTTCACGTGAATGTGAGCTTCCTGAAGGCAAGAGATTTTATCTGTTTTATTCACTGCTGATTCGCCAGCACCTTAAACAGTACTTGGAACATAGCAGATATTCAGAATTATTTGTCAAATGAATGTGTGAAGGTTAGGTTTCAAGACTGTTTTACAAGTTGTTGTAGATTTCTATGTTTATTGATCCATTGAAGAACATTACAGTGTTTGTTCTTATTTCTACCTGTGAGGATGCGGAGCACCACGGGCTGCATAAGGTCCTCAGAAGTTCCATCACTTAGTGCAACATGAACAGAAGAATTTACTAGATTGATATGAAAGGTGTTACCAAGGATAAGCTACAGGGTGTCATGGGTTGGAACTGGGTAGGGGAGGCTAAGACAGGAGAGGCAGGGGAGAATAATTATATGAAACTAGCACAAAAGAGCATGTCAGTGACTTCTGGGCAGGCCAGTCTACTGTTTGCACAAGAATGCCCTTTGGAAGGGATTATTTCTGGATAGTAAATCTGTGTACCAGTAGCTGTGTTAGGGCAAACACCCGCCCAGGTGCAGTATTTCCACTTTCCTGTTGGCACATCTTACAGTTCCTACTTCACAGATGTTCGCTGTCTTCTTACTCTTTGATGAGCCCATTCTGACACAGTACAGCTGGTTTCCACCCTTGATGCACTGCGGGGGCAACAGGCAGATACATTTGGAAGTGGAGTCTGCAGAGAGAGAGAGAAAGAAAGAATGAGACTCACCACAACACTTTATGGTTTAATTTTACCTAACTTGTCCCCAGGGTGGTGAGCTCCTTGGTGGCAATAAACGAGAAAACTGAAACAAAGACAATGATCCCAAATAAACTTTAATGGTGTAAACTTGTCAGTAGTACATCTGACATTTTTATACTTTCTCGTTAGTTAGCTTTTCATGTCTTCCTCCCAAGACAACTGTGAGTGCTTCATCTGAGAGCAGTAACTAGGGCTCAGCCATCTGTATTCCCCACTCAGCTCTTACCAAGCTGCTCAAAGAATTCTGCTTCATTGATTGATTTTAAATTATGAATTTAAGGTACAAATATAAGTATTCAGAGAGAAATCTATCTGATGCCTCTGGTATAATTCATGTTGCCAGAATATCCGAGTCAGCCTGAGAATTCGCAGTGTTTACATTAATGAGTAGTTCTTTTAGGTGGATATCAATTCTTTCCCATGTGTCTCAACTGATGGGAGAAAATAGGGCAAGGAAATGGGGAGATACCCATATGCATTGTCTTTCTGCCCTTGGTAGGAAACATTTCATGAGAAAGCATGCATTTCCCTTCTATGTCCTCTGTCAACCAGCTAGAGAAGATTCTAGCTGTGGAAAACTTTCTTCATTGATGGAAAGAGCAGGGTATGGTGAAGGACAGAAGACTGTCCACCCCTGGGGAGGAAGTCAGCTCTCTAGGCTTGTGGAAAGGCCATAGTCACTACTCTCTTAGTATAGTTAGAGCTTAAATGCTCTTAGCAAGGTTATTTTCAGACTATTAACACCAGAGGCCTTTTCCACCTCCTCCTCTAATTCATCCTCCAACACTTACTTCTCATGCTTTCAACCTCATGAAACACTTCCAGGCCAGATGATATTTATCTCTTTTGTAGCTCTTATCACATACTGCCTTGCATTAAAAGTTATTCATGAAATTATTGTGTAAAGTTACTCCTCCAACTATGGTATAAGTGTACAAACTAAATCTTCCCTTCCTATTGGTTGATAGTGGCTATTTTTGAAATTCAGACAAAACACTTAATATTCATAACACTAGGCTCCTTTCAAAAACATTTGTGTTTTAACTTTTGAAAAATGAACTTTGTGGGCCGGCCGAGTGGCGCAATGGTTAAGAACTCGCTTGGGATGCCAGAGGGCCCCGGTTAGGATCCCACATATGAGGGCCAGTGACACTGCCCTCCACAGCTAAGATACTAAACAACAGCTCAACCTGGAACTGGGCTGCCGTGAGTCGCTGGCGACGGCATAGGCTGCAGCCCCTGCTGCAGTGGGTTGCCATGGGCTACCGTGTGTAGCCAGCAGCCAGCGTGAGCGGCCAGCCGCCACAGTGAGCGGCCATCCAGAAGCCGGCGACTGATCTGCCTCTCCAGGGAAGAGCGCAATGATGGTGCCAACTTGGGCCAGTGAAGCAACGTCCTCCACAACTAGATTGAAGAACAAAACGACAGCAACTTGTCTGTTCCCCTTCCCCCAACTCCCCAGCACTGTTCCCATCCCCCCAATTCCCCAATAAAAATCTTTAAAAAAAAAAAAAAGAAAAAAAAAGAAAAATGAACTTTGTTACTTTGAAGTTCCATTGTAAACTTCTTCTCATTTCATTTTAGGAAGAGAAGGAAATGAGTAGCAAAACACAAGATAATCAAGAACACAATTTAAGCCAGATGATATTCAATTCAACCCAAGATTAATAATATCCCAACTTGCCATGAGTGGGTTGGGTATAAAATACATTTTCAGCTTTCTCTTTCTTCATAAACGTTGTGGTTTGCACGTTCATGCTGTTCTATAGTGCTACTTGAACTGAATCCTCTGTGACTTTGACTTGTGCTCACCAATTAAAGAAGGCTGACAGAGGCACACCATATCTACAGGGGAGAAAATGCTTTCTGTTTTCTGATTGTGTGCAGGAGCAAAGGACATTTTAAATGACATAAATCTCTTATAAAGAAATATTCATGTATTAGTGTGCTCACTCCAAGACATTCTGCTAACTTGAGCAATATTGTTAAGTATTCAAACTTTTTAGTGTCCTTTTTAAAGACAAATTTAGACTCCTGGAGACCGTGACATTTAGATATATGTACAACAAAGAATTAATAGTAAAGGCAGATTTTTATGAAATGGTAAGCAATAGATTATTTGTTATTCAGACAGATTTGAAAAGAGTAATTTGTGGAAATATAGCAAAAAAATAAGTTCTTGCAATAGAAGAGTTCCGTGAAGACCTATTTTCCATGAAAAATAAGGAGGAATGGAAGTTAACACTGAATATATCCCTAAATGCCTGAGTGACCTATTGAAGTACTGACAGGGACTATTTTTATTTGATCTGTTGTCCAAATTCCTTTTACTTTCTGTATGTATTTTTGACAAAAGTGTTCTTACACTATGATTTTCAAAAAAAGGTTATATTTTAAATACAAAATAATGTTACATAATACTGTTAGCTCTTTTCTGCCACAAATTATTGTTTCTGAGAGAGATGTCAGTTGGATATGGTGTTGGTCAGTCAATGAAAGAATGAATAATAGTATTTATCTATAAGATGATTTAATAGTGATTAGAATTGGGTAATGTACATATTGGGCCCTGGTTTGCTGTCTCTCATGGTAGAATAGCCTTGTTGAAATATGGCTTGAAGTTTGGAAAACCCAGATATTCACCTCCTGAGTGGCAACCATCAGATGGCTTGCTAACTGTGGTTTCTGTGTCTACCCTCTGTCCTGAGTTCAATCCTGCCACCTATCAAGGGAGCTAGATCTTAATAATCAGCTTAAAGTGGATCAGGAAGAAACTTTATTTGGATAATAAGGCCTCTCCCTTTTTCCAGGACTGAGTTGAAATACATTGGGTTAGAAAGTAAAAGAGGAGTCAGTGGGAACAATAAGGTTTTTGTCTTTTTTTTTTGGTGGTTTTAGCAAAAGTTGGATGTAACAATTTAGCAAGTTTCTATTGCATACTTTATGCCTAGTTTAAGATAGTGTTTGAAAAGTGTCACAAGGGAAATTGAGCTGCCCCATTTGAGTTCTGTTAAATCTAACCTTCAACTCATATTTATATATTATATGAAGCTTAGTTGGGCTTCACAGAAGGGTCAAACTTCATCTTAGAGCAAATGTATTGCTGTGAAGTTTCTGCATCTAAGCAATTCACAAATAAAATGCCAATAGCTAATACACTTACAGAAAATGGAAATGTAATGTCACTTCTTAAGTACCAAATTGACAAAGATATAAAGGAGTGAAAACTGCAAGGTTTGGTGAGGATGTGGAAAGGCAGTCTTTATCATACATTGTAGATAGGAATATAATATGGTAAAAACATTTCTGGGAAGCAAGTTGATACAATAGACTTTATAATTTTAAATAATATGTAACTAGAAATTCCATTTTTTAAGGTATATCGTAAGAAAACAATCTTACATTATAGATTTATCTGCAATATATTTGCCAATCCAGCATTGTTTATAATAGCAAAATATTGGGAAAAATCTAAATGCCTAACAGAAGACTGATTAAATAAATCACAAAATGCCCACATAGGCTTTTGCCCAAATTGAAAATTATGTGGCAGAATAATATATGATGATGTGGAAATAGCTTCATGATATAAGTGCAAAGCAGAGATATGTAAAATAGGATGTAGAATGTAAACCTATTTTATTTTTAAAAAATATGTAATATAACCAGGGCCACCCTGAGGTGTGTTGTGACCCCGGGGAAATTTTTCTTATGGGATGCCTCACTATAGAAACAATTAAAGACACTCCAAATTAGAATGTCAGCACCATATTGGCAGTCCAATCTCAAACAATCTTGAGAGAAATGACCCTGCTGGCCTATGGCTCACCAGGCTTCTCTCTGGGAATGAGAATCTAGCTCCGAGCCAAGGATGACTCTACAGATGGAATCCCCGAGCTCCTTGGAGCATCTGGTTGATCCCATGCATGGTGGAGGAGAGAAGAAATAGGTCAGAGAATGTTCCACAGGGACAAGCAGTGCCTGCGTGAGTCCATGAGGGACCCTGTCTGGGTTCAGAGCATCCTGCCTGAATAACACTGCCAGCCCTAGCTAGTCCCAGACACAGCAAGAAAACATAAAACAATTTGAGGAAGATGCTTTCAGCAATTGGTATCCATAAGGAACCCAGTCCAGGCTCAGGGCACTCTACCTATGTTGGCCCCAACTGGTCCCAAATGCTAAAGGAAAGCGTAGGCCATTTTGATGCATGCCCTCCAAAGCTGGGAGTGGGGAAGGATGCCTGACGCATGAGATTGGGATGGGCACATTTTTTTAATATTAGTTTTAGGTGTACAACAACATAATAGTTATACATTTAAACCCCTCATAAAGTAATAACCCATCTCCCAAGCTACCAGCCCTTTAACATCTTATATAGCTGTTACAATACCATTGACTATCCTCCCTATGTTGTACTCCACAGCCTGTGACTATATATACCTACATATTTAGTTATAGTTGACATTCAATATTATTCTACTTCAGCTCTTGAGGTATATAGCGCATTGGTCAGGCATCTACACGGCTCATGACGTGATCCCCCTGATAAGTCCAGTGTCTATCTGGCACCTTACATGATCTTTACAACATTGTTGATTATATTACCCATATTGTATTAACTACCAATTTGTATTTATTAATGCCTTCACCTTTTCCACCCTGCCCCCAATCCCATTCCCTTCTATCACCCTGATAGATCTAGTACCTATCTGGCACCATACCTAGTTATTACAACATTATTGACTATATTCCTATGCTATACCCTACATATCCATGACTACTGTATAACAACCAGTTTGTATTTCTTAATCAGGTGGGTACTCTTCTCACTGGGGTCTAAAGGTGGTACTGATTATATATGCATAGAAAAAAGATTAGAAAGATTTACACCAAAATTGTTAAAGTAGTTATTTCTAATTGTGGGAGGGTTACATATTTTTTTTTGGTTTAAATCATGTTATGAAATATTTTTACAATAAAATGAAACTATTATTGATTAAGGACAGGCTAATTTTAAGAGAGAGTATATAAATGCAAATAAGATATACTAAGTGAGAGGAAGGTTAAGTGAGAGCGTTTCTAGTATGTGGTCACCACTGGAGCTTACCTGAACATTTTTCCCAATCATAGCAGGTATCATAGCCACAGGGTTCTTTCTTTGTGCTATTGGAGGAAAGTTTTGTCCTTTCAAGACCCCATGCTAAGTGTAGACCATCTTGGCAGGAACCAATATGTAGAAAATGGAGTTGCTGATTATTTAAACATTTCTTGGCCCAAAATTTACAAGCAGGTAAAGTAAAATAATGACTGGAGTCTGAATCAAACACACAGAGATCTTCTGAATAATGGCTGCCCAAGAGAGGAAAGCAAGCATTAATATATGAAGACAAAAAAAAAAAAGAGAGAGAACATCTAGCCAGTTAACTTACTACCCAGTTATCTTCCTCCTGCTTCCCCCTCCCCATATTTCTCTTCTTTCAGACCCTAATTTCATCTTGCCTGCTCTGGGATTCATCTTTCTAAAATTTCATCTTAGTGTTGGTATTACTCCCAATTGCCTTTGAATTAAAATCTGAATTTTTAAATTCTGGTAATGAAGATCTCCATATTTTGACTTCAATCAACTTGCCTTTCTAGAATTATTTTCCCATCCTCAATCCCTCTATCACCTGACAATTGCTTATTGATCATTCTCTAAACTGGTACGATTTTTCTTTCTTTGCTGTCATCCCATGTCCTGCTCAAGCAGTATTGCAGTCTCTCCTCTCTGCCTATCTGTGTCCAGTTCAATTCCTGCCTACACTTTGAAACTAACTCCAATCAACCTAGCCCATGGTAGTCTGTAACTCTTCTGAACTCAGTAACATGCAGTAATTGCAACACCAGAATCATATATCATCATATAGCTTCACAAGTGTGCTTGTATTATGATTAAGAACATGCAATTTTAAGTAATTCTTGGGTAGCTTGATTAATCTCTCTAAGTAGATGATGAATCCTGCTACCAAGAGGTAACCAGTGGCCATAGCCCTTGTCTTGCTGAGAGGGCAAGAATTCTGATTACTCCAAATTTGAGTCTCTTCTCTAAAGACAATTTTAGAGTTAACAATCAGTGCAGTAGTGTGTAAAATTGTTTCCAAGAACTAAAGCCCATAGCTGAAAAGAAAAGGCCATTACTAATTTCAGTGAACTTAGGCTGTGGGGCCAGCCATTCCCATAAACACCTTCAATTCCATATAAGAGAACTGAGGATTACAGAAAGAGGCTAGAGAGGTAGGGAAGAGCTGAAATCCAGACAGTTCCAGAGGGAGGTCTGTATTCTCATGGTTTGGTACTACAACAATAAAGAAAAAAGTTTCCTCTGGGTTAACTGGACAATATGAATGCTGTAAGTACTCCCCAGCAGGGCATCTGATGAGTGAGGGGACTCCAGCAGCAAGAAGCTGTGTGGTGGCCCACTGGTGAGGCTACTGAGGAAGGCAAAAAGAGCCAACTTTTTGCTGAATTGTGTCAGTGGAATTATATAGAAAAAGAACCTGTAGTGTTTGAATGAATGAATGAATGAATGAATGAGTCCCTACAAGCATTGGTTCATCTGCAGCACAGAGGAACATGAGAGCTAGTCAGTGTAAAAAGTAAAGTATAACAACTGGGCACAATCTGTTGGCTCCTCTCCCCAACATTCATTCTTTCTTCTCTTCCGCAATCTGATTTTATTCTGCAATACCTTTACATCCAGCCAAAGAACTACATTTCACAGCCTCCCTTGCAGGGATGTGAATAAGAGAAGAAGATGGAATCAAATGATGGGTCTTTGAGAAACTCTCCTTCAAAAGAGAGAATGTGTCTGTTTTTGGTCATCCTTCCTTCCTGCTCCAGCAGAGCAACCTTAGACCATGCAATAACTTTCAGGATGGCAGACTGGAGAGCAAGAAGCAGCCTCAGTGCTATCTGAAATAAGAGACTCACCATACTAGCCCCAGATTGCCTACCTCCATATTTATTTTGTGATATAGGGAAACAAAATTTTATCTTAAGCTAATGTTATTTTGGATTAAATTGAGCTGAAGATAGTCCTTAAATTAATAAGTGCCTTTGACACTCCTGGCTTTGTTCATGTAAAGAAAAGGAAGTTATAACAACAAAGAGGAGGTAGATAACTAGTCATGGCATTCACATGAGGATATATCATTTTTCTTATTCATGCTCTCTGCCCCTGCATGAAAGAATAAACTGACAAAGGTGTGTGTGTGTGTGTGTGTGTGTGTGTGTGTGTGTGTGTGTGTGTGTGTGTGATCCATGCTCATGCCACTCTCTCTACTCCAAGCTTTTGAAGTCACAGCCTTGCCATGGGAACAGGTAAGCTTTGAGGTAACTAAGCCTGAAGTTTTAAAATGGACAGAAATAAGTCCTTATAATCAAAGTGAGGCTGTTTTAATAAACAAAAGCGATGCAAACTTAGGAACTAGGCTGAGAGATCATTAAAAAGCTTGCAACCAGTGCAGAAGGAGGAATTTAACTAGAGCGCGGACGGTATCAGTTATGTGAAAAGTTAACATGTTTCATGTTCTTGCTTCAAGAAACTCAGCTACTCCATCTACCTAGTCTGGTTACACTAGACTAGTTTTTCCAATTTCCAAACATAGTCCATAGACTATCTCTTACCTACAGTCTTCTTCTGGAGACATGCAAATACATTCGGATCCTACTTGTTTTTGTCCTGGTTGACAATGTCCCTTTAATGTTTTCAGAATATCTGAAAGAAAAGGAAAAAGAGTGAAGAGCAGTGCATAGTGTAGATTTCTTGCGATAAACCTGAATTCAGTGAAAAGGTTTTCATTTCCCTCTTGCAGTTAGACATTCATTTTTGCTTTTACAAATAAGTTGTCATGAAATATTCCATCTGAAAGGTCCTTTCTGGATTTCATGAGCTGTCATTTTCCAACCTAAAATTTTTATTAAGTTCAGATAACTAAAGGACATGAAATTGGTGAAATTTCTGTTCATTTGCTTTTCAAATATTCACTGAGCCACTATGCTATTCTCACCAGTGCATTAGGTTTTGAGGATGTGGATTGAGCAAAGTTTGACCCAAATCTTATGCTCACAGAGCTTATAGTCTTGTGGAGACAGACAGCCTTTACTCAAATAAACACACTAATACAAAATAAAATTACTGCCTTTATTAGAGATATTAAAAAGAAAGCATATAATCAAGAAAATTGATGTAGCTGGGAAGATTAGGAATGGTAAAATGAGAAAAGGGAAAGTATTCAAAGAAAAGGAAACATCAGGCATAAAATTATTAAAAGAGAGTCAGCATATGACTTTCCTGGAACTGCGAGAAGGCCCCCATGACTGATGTGCATAAAAACAAGAGTATGGAACAAGGTCTGGTCAGAGAGGTGGGAGTGTCAGGCTGTGTAGGGTCTTATAGGACTTTTGAAGGACTTTTGTCATTAACTTTATAAGCAGTGGAAAGTCTTTGATGGATTTTAAGCAGTGGGAGGTGTGACAAAATAGGTCTGGATTTTGAAAAAGAAATTAATTCTGTCTCTGTGTGGAGCATGGAGAAGTGGTCAAGAGGGCCATGGGTAGGCAATCTATGAGGTTATTATCATAGCTCAGGAGAAAGAAGATGGTAATTTGGACCAAAGTCCCAAGTTGGAAATGGAGAGAAGTGGATAAACTTGAGACATATTTAGCAGATAAAATAGATGCTCTGTATTTTGTAGGTAAGATACGAGAGCTGTGAAGTATAATGCTTAGGTTTCTGGTTTGTGTAGGAAAACAGACATTGATGCATCTAATAGAAAATATTAGAAGATGTTAGTTTTAGGGAGAGGAGAGTGATGACTCGAGTTTTTGTCTGCATATGTTGAACTTATGGTATTTTTAAGACATCGAAACAAAATAGTATATAGAAATTTGGATATTCAGGTATAAAGCTTAACGGAGAAGTCCGTGCTAAAGATTTAAATTTGTTATTAGTGTATGGGGGGGGGAAGGGGAGAGGTCATCGAAGCTACAAGTGTGAGTGAGATTCCCCAGCAGGAGAGTGTAGCATAAGGTGAGGGGACAGATCTGAGCCTTGAGGAACTCCGAACATTTAACATTCAAGAACAAACAGGATCCTGCCAAAAATAGAGGGCAACAGCCAGAGAGGTAGGATCTAAATTAGGTATTGTTGTATCTTGGAAACCACAGAGAGAACGTATATGCAGAAGAAGGTCAACATTGTTGAATGTTGCTGAGGTCAAGGGAGATGAGGACCAAAATATTGTCCATTACATTTATTTATTTATTTTTTATTGTTAGTTTCAGGTGTACAGAACAATGCAATAGTTATCCTTTTCACCCTTCACACAGAAACAACCCCCTTCCCCCCATCCACCGGTCCATTACATTTAAAAATATGGATATCAGTGACGACAATTCTGCAAATGGCTGTTGGGGAGCAATGGCTTAAAAGTCTGGTTTTCTTATAAGAAGAATAAATGAAGAAATGCAACACCTAAATGTAGCTATTTATCCCTCGTGATATTCTAAGCACTAGGATATTATGGTGGGAACAAAAAGAAAGAATGAAAACAGCAGTGATCCTTTTTTCCATGAATCTAAAGGATAGTGGCAAAACAGACACTAATCAAATACTCATAGTAATGGATTTACACTTAAAGGCTGAGATAGGTATTTTGAACTAAGGGAACATCATTCTAGAAGATCACATAACAGAAAGACCCCAACTGACAAATGTAAGGAAGGATCCACAAGGAACTGATGCTTGAGCTAAAGATGAGCAATTGAGTAGTGCGTATGTGAGGAAGGGGAATTAAAGTAGAGAAAATAACACCCGGGTATATTACACAGAAAGGAAAATCTTGGTAATTTTGCTTACATTAGGGCTCACCCAGAGAACCTTTAGGCTGGGTGAATTGGACCTGGAGCTGACCTCTGGGCCTGTGGGATGAAACAAACTTTCCTGGACTGAATCTGATGAATCAGGCACCCACAGAACCACAATGGCCTCTGAGAGCAAGTAGTTGTCAAAGTAGGGCAGTAGGCAGCTATCTATATATTCTGACACATTAGATGATAGAGCAGGAAAAGTAAAGATTAAAAAAAATCAGCAGGTTTTCTTCTTTACTGCTATTTTCCTTTTCTACTATTATCCTCCGTTGGGACCCTCATTCCGTCTGGTGAAATCTGACCCAGAACTTTCATGAAAATGGAGAACTTTAGCTGGTGATAAGGCCTCAGATACTAACATTTCCACTGACATGGTATTGTTTTTCTTTGTATAGCTCTACTTCTTTGCCCTTTGTAAATAAATCCGCACTTAGGTCAGGGAGGGATCCAAGTCACACATTGTTTCCAAAGAGAATCAGCTTTCAAATAACGAGGAGCCTTGCTCTGTCACCACGGATATGAAATTGTCAGCGATGACATGCAAGGAGCTCCCTCACTAAAGGTCAGGTTGAAGCAGGAACTGACTCTTCGCTGCCCACAGCCCACAGCACAGTTTGTGAGAAACATGGAAACGAGAATGTTGTGAACTTGGAGGGGCTGAGGGCAAGGGGCCCCTCCAGAGGCGTTGATTTCTCGGAGAAAGGAACGAAGTGCCTGTGGAGGCATGGGGCATCTTATTTTTTCACGATGAAGGAATTAAAAGTCTTTCCATGGTCAACAGATGGCCTGAAAGCCTCTTTACCTCACAGCTTCCCACATATTAAAAGAGTGTTCACTTTTCTTGATGATATTTTTTCTCTTTCTGTGAATCCCTTCATTGATCTTTTTGTCAATGTTGTTGGAAAGTGTATGAGATAAGATATTGCTTTCCATTATCTAGATGTAGAACATTTTATTATCTCTCAGTTTGGATTAGAATTTCAATTTCTTTCCCAGAGTTGTGTGTGTGTGTGTGTGTGTGTGTGTGTGTGTGTGTACATGTGCTGTTATTTGCATAGAGAAGAGGATGCTGCCTAAGATGCCTGAAGGATCTTAACTTTCTGAAGCCTGTGCATCCCAAACATATTGATCCCTCTGACATATGCGTGTGCGATCAGGAGTCAAGAGAAACCAAGCCACAATATTGATCTGAAGTTCTTACAAATTTTCATGAGATGTCTTTACCAATAGTTTTAAGGTTATTTAATGGGCTAACTTTCCCCCTTCACACATTATAAAAGCCCAGAAGAGGATAAAGAAAGCAAGATGGCAAAGAACTTGGGGAATTAGCAGACCTATTACGCAGTTCCTGTTTGACCCAAACCATCTGACCTTGGGTCTAATTTAGCTTCTCTGTGCCTTCTGTTTTTTCATAAACAAAATGGGCCTAATCATATCTGACCTCAGCTACAGACTCAAGGATTCTCTGATTAAAAACGAGACACTCTTAGGGCCGGCCGAGTGGCTCAGTTGGTTAAGAGCTCGCTCAAGAGTCTGAGCTCTGAGCAACAGCGGTTCGTGTCCAGCCCGAGCTGAGCAGCCGCTGAGCTGCCAACAGGTAGCAGGATGGCTCAGCTAAAAAAAAACAAAACAAAACAAAAAACGAGACACTCTTCAGGCTGGCTGAGTGGGGCATTGGTTAAGAGCTGGCTTGGAACACCAGAGGACCCCGGTTCGGATACCACATATGAGTGCCAGTGACACTGCCCTCTACAGCTAAGATGCTGAACAACAGCTCAACCTGGAGCTGGGCTGCAATGAGTCGCCAGCAACGGCATAGACTGCAGCCCCTG